ACCGTTCACAGTCTGGCAAATCCGCCAAGCCCCATATGAAAGCCTTGTCGTTGAGAGTCAGCCGATTCCGAGCCAATCGCAAGCTAAGTGAAAACTCAGGGTTACTGAGGTAATCCGCCGCTGGCGCCCAAGACCAGTAGGAGCGAAACTCCTCCTCCGACAAGCCGAGCATATCTCGTAGGGGATCCTTCGCGGGCCTCCCCACTAATTCTCGACAGAAGACCTTCCTAGGCCGAGAAAGGTCACTGCACCGGGGAACGGCCCTCAAGGCCGACCGACACTCGCGAAGGAAAACCGATTGATCCCGGGGTTTACGACCGCACTCAACCCGCGAGATGGGGGCACTGATGGTAAGGCCAGGGAACGCGTCCCTAACAATCCCCTCCAGAATCGGATCTCCTCCAGTCAATGCGCGGCGTAGGAAAGCCAACCCAGAGGCACGGATGTGACTCAGCAGGTGCGGCATTCCCAGCCCCCATGACACGGACGTTTAGTGCAGACTCGTCTGTCGACCCGATTCCGCGTCCCTCCATAAAATGGAGGATAGCGATCGCTCGAGCGCCTTCTTGTGGGTCTTACAGAGAGGAAGTACGGACAATCGATAAAGAATCAGGGGAAAAATATGTAGCACACACCTCCGCCCTGCCCTTCACGGACAACCTCCGTTGATTCCGAGTCTGACCGGCGGAATCGACCTTTGCTCGTACTTCAGACCAATTCTTCTCCAGCTGGAGGTCAGGCCCAAACCACACTCCAAGAATGCGGACAGGACCGTCTGTCCAACCGAAGCGGCCCGGAAGAGCGACCCCCTTCCAGGCACCTAACCGCAAGCCGGACGACTTGTCGCGGTTTATTTTGGCCCCTGTCACCTTCTCGTACCGATCAAGCGCCTTCTGTACCGCCTCAATGTCGTTGCGGGACGACACGAAAGCAGATACGTCATCGGTGTACGCGGAAACCCTGGCTCGAGACCCTCCAGGAACGGCAATTCCACGTAGGGCCGGACTGCCGGTCTCGTTCTTCAGCCGGCGAAGGAGAGGCTCCAACGCCAAAGCATAAAGGAGAGGCGACAGCGTTCAACCCTGACGAACCGACCTAGACAGCACGAACGCGTCCGACAACCTTCCGTTCACCTGTACCACCGCACTGGGGGAGCGATACATAAGACATAAGAGTAAGACTAATCAAAACAGACAACTGAAATTTTTCAAGATCAGCGTTCCGTTTCAATATGATCACGTGGGCGTCACGTGGGCGTCACGTGGGCGTCACGTGGGCGTCACTTGGGCGATATGATTTTATGTATAATCATTAGTTTCGCATGTATATTTTTAATTCTGACCTTATGTCCCTCCTTTCATTCAGTTATATGCCATACGTAATACACGATTATGCGAACATGTATTTTTCGATATACGACTGACAAGGCAGATATTTTTTCCGCAGTAGGTTGCCATTTCTTTCTGCAGTGGATAAGTTGTCATGCAAGGTTACAGAACTCGGTCTGCCCTGCTGTTTACTCATAGTTGGGTGGGGTGGAGTAGAAGAGGATTCATACCTTTCCCAAGTGTATTAGCATGTAAGTGAATGTAATGGATTCTACTAGAATATGTCCCTCCTTTAGTTTCGGAAAATATGCAGCACCTTGTTTTTAAACTTCCTTAAAAATCATTTACTCACTAGTTACTTATCTTCACCTGAAGAAGTACAAACATAGTATTGAAACATGAAAAAATATCTTAATTAATCTTTCTTTTATATATATATATTATATATATATATATATATATATATATATATATTCGACTCTGCCATCGAATTCGACGCATGAGGGTGAAGCAAATCAGTTCCTATGAATCCGATAGCTCGACAACAGCACATGATAATTGATTATAGTGGTGAAGGTCTCATGCAAGACCATCCGCACTTTTTGAAGGGCCGAATACAGAGACCTGGTGCACTACGTGCCACAAGGACCCCAAACGATCCTCCGCTGGTTTTCAATTCAGAATTGTCCTTCTCCTAGACCATTTGCCATCCAGGGCTATAGAACCGATATATATATATATATATATATATATATATATATATATATATATATATATATATATATATAGAGAGACTTATTCACTCGTAATATATATTCTATAGAAAATCATTACTTCCGCCCTTAAATATACATAGGTACCACCACTTTTTCGAATAAAATAAGTATACGATAATGAAAAAAAATCACCCAAACTTGATAAAAACAAAGTGTTATCATCAAAATGTTTCTGTTATTATTAAGTGGAAAGACCAAAGTATTTTTAATTACTTTATTACTTTTATTATCCTTTCTACCAGGTTAAAATTTTTGGTTAATTTTTTTTTCGTCAGCGGTAAACCAAAGATTCAGTTATGCGCCATACGTGATATACGCTTAGGCGATCATGTATCTTTCGATATATGACTGACGAGGCAGATTTTTTCCTCGCAGTAGGTTTCCATTTCTTTCTGCGGTAGACCCGTTGCCATCCAGGACTATAGAACTCGGTCTGTCCTGCTATTTAACCGTAGCTGGCGGGGGTAGAGGAAGAAGAAGAGGATTCATACTTTGCCAAAAGTTATTAGCACGTAAATAATTCGACTGGAATTCGAACTCGGCTCTCCGATTCCTCAATCCCAAAGGTATTTTAGCACCTTTTTTCGGTAAAATTAGACTTTGCAATAATCAAATAGTTGTCGAATTTATTTAAATATTCAGGACTTGCACACAAATGATTTAAATTTTGGAAACTAATTTTTTTTTACATCTGTCACCTCCCTACTCCACTTAATTTCATGAAATTTAATTTTGATCGAAAAACTTTTTTATTAGTTAAAAGCAAGTCCCCTTGGAGTGTATTAATCATCCATTTAATTGCTGTTATCCATAGCATATATAATGGACATCATAGTCTTAAGGAAAAAAAAAATCTTTCGATGAATAATGAATTTTTACAAGAATTTATTTTCATTTTTTTATTTTAATTGTAAGAATTAATAAAGTTGCACATCTTTTAAAAATTCTGCAAAAAATTGCATTAAGTGAAATTATTATTAAGTGAAAACTATATTTACTAACAGAAAAATGAAAAGCATAATACAATTCATCAGGCACTAAGATTTTTAAAATATTTTTTTTTATATGTATAAACGTACCCATTTTCAAAATATGGTTGACCATACACGACATTATCAGAAAATAAGAGTGATGACTATAGTAAATGTAAAGTCAATATTCTTAAAATTAGATTATGGAGAATATTTTACAACATTTTAACTGAGTACTTTAAAATTATTTAAAAAAAGGCGTTCCCCCGTAATTTTCTTAAATTATGTTTTAACAGATAAAGTCTGTGTACAACAGCAATAAACTTGTCTACTTGTCAACACCTTATCAACACTTGTTATCGCTACGTCAATCCCGTAAACATGGCTGCTGTATGTTTTAAACGCTGCTATAGATTTTTTTTTTAAATGTATTTCTGTGTTATTTTAAACTTAAATATGTGTTTCAAATCAGATTAATTATACTTTAAATCAGTTAATATACATGAAATAAAGTTTCAGAAAAGTATTTCATTTTAGGAAAATTTTTAATACATTGTAATGAAAGACAACTAAAAAGGGTCTTAATTAGCTATTTGAGAAAAAAATAATAATCGATTCCAATCAATATAATTTCTGTTTGAAATATACCAAAGTATTTTGCTTACTGGAAATAGTAAATTTTAATTAAAGCTAAAAAGAAATCTTTTTTATTATTAAAAATTCGTTTTAAACCTTAGGTATCGAAAATTTAGTGGAGATCCCTATTTTTATTGCTTCGTCTGTTTAAGTGTTTTTTATTTCTTATATTCTTTCCTACTCTGTAACCGATTGTGTCTTTGTTGTTTTATTGCCTTGTTTGGGGTGAAATGATAAGAAAACACCCTAAGAAAACAGAGAATAATATATAGAACGTGTTTGTGCCGATGGATGGATAGAAGAACATGCATCCCAAAACGAACGAGAGTTTTAAAAGGAATTGCTGATTAGAACAATCCAGAGAAAGTAGTGGAGAGCCATGATCAGGATAGCATAAACAACAGATATATAAGAGCCATTTTCGAAGGAAACTCTATACGCAGTTGTAAAATTATACTAATATATCACTTAATATTTTTCTATGAAATGCGTTGCTGTCGGCGAATTAGGGTAAATACATTTTATTTAAAGAAAGAATAACGCGAGATTGATAACGAGAAATACAATTTAAGGCTCAAAAGTAGATATGTGAACGTATTAAGGAAAGATAATCATGAAAATGCCAAAGAATGGCGGAGGCATAGCGTACTGGGAAAATATAGGGAGACAGAGAAGCAAAGGTAAATAGAAAGAGCGGGGCAGATAAAAGGAGAAAGAGAAAAGGATAGAGAGAGAGAGAGAGAGAGAGAGATAGAGAGAGAGAGAGAGAGAGAGAGAGAGAGAAAGGAAGGAAGCTAAGAAGACAAGAGGGGATGAAGAGGAAGAGGAGACAAAAAGGTTAAGAACGAGACAGAAAGAAAGATAAGGAAAACAAAAAAGGAGAGGAAAAGAAAATGAGAGAAAGATGGTGAGGGTGAGGGAAAGAAATGGAGAGAAACAGTATTAATTGAACAGGAAATTAAATTTGTTCTTTGCTATCCAAACCTAATCATGGCGGCAAATAAGGATCGTGGGAAAAATGTGACGGGCATTTCCGGTAAGATTTCGGAAAGAGTCCGAAGGAGAATTAACCAAAGCACTGATCTGCGTGTGCGCGCGCGCGTGTGTTGTATGGAAACGAAGAGAGATATAAACAGAGAGAGAGAGAGAGAGAGAGAGAGAGAGAGATCAAAGGGAAAGAAAGCAATAATTATAGACAAAAGAAAGTTCACAAGGTGAAGAAGAAGAAAGAGCAGTCATTGAGTCCGAAAAAGCAGGGGGTCTTTGTTAGTTACAGGGCAAAAATTGGTATGTGTGGGTTCAAGTTTCGCCGGTGTCCATCTTTTTATGTGAAGTGTTGGGTGGGGCGTCTGGTTCGGAAAGGAATCGGTATTTGATACTTTTGTCATCCGGTAAGGAGTAATGGATTCTCTGATCTTTCAGTCTTTTGTCACGACCCTAAAGCAGTCAAATCTCACTAACCGTTGGTCAGAGGTGGTGCTCATGCCATGAGAGTGTGTGTGTGGGGGGAGGGGGGCGATGGATACGGAATACAAGATTAAGATGCGCCTTACAAGATTGACGACAACGTGATTCTGAAAGGAACAACAAGTCAACACGGCATCTCATCATTGTCAATGAGTAATAACTTTTAAACAAGCGAGTTTTCTTTCTGTTGGAATTTCTGTCTTTTTCAATATGTGATTTTCTACTGTTTTTTTTTTCCTTTCTTTCGTTTATATCATACTTTTGTTTGCCTTTTTTGTCTTTAATACACATCCATTTTATTATTTTCTTTCCTTCTTCTGTACATATCTTTCTTATTCTTTTTCCTTTATTTCATTTTTATTTAATTTCCATGATACGCGTTATTTTTTTAAAAACTTTTTACTTTCTTTCTTTCTTTTTCTTTCTTTTTTCGTTACTTTCTTTCTTTCTTTCTATTTAAATTGCTCTAAATAAATTTCTTTCTCGTGCTTTTCGGTGCACCGGTTTTTCTTTCTTTTCTTTTTCTTTCTTTCTTTCTTTCTTTCTAAATTGCTCTAAATAAATTTCTTTCGCGTGCTTTTCGGTGCACCGGTCTTTCTTTCTTTCTTTCTTTTTAAATTGCTCTAAATAAATTTAATTCTCGTGCTTTTTGGTGCAGCAGTTTTTCTTTCTTTCTTTCTTTCTTTCTTTCTTTCTTTCTTTCTTTCTTTCTTTCTTTCTTTTTCATTCATTCTTTATTTCTCTAGTTCTTTCTCTTGTTCTTTCTTTCTTTCTTTGATACACAACTTAACTGCGCTCTTTTTCCTTCTTTTCCTTCATCGATACACGTCATACATCTATTTTTTTTTCTTTCCTAATAATATCTTTTCTTTCGATACAGTCTTCTTTCTTTTATCTTTCCTCTCTTTCCTTCTATTTTTCTCTTTTTCTGGTAGGTGTTTTTTTTCTTCATATTTCTTCTTCGTAGCCGAATTCCTTCCCATGAAATTTTCCTATTTTTTTCCTTTTTTTTGGAACACACTTATCTTCTTTCTTGTTTTCTATTTTGTTTCTTTCACACCCAGCTTCTTATTAGTCAAAATATTTCTTTTTCGTTCTCTTCTTTCTTTCTTTCTTTCTTTCTTTCTTTCTTGCTCGCTTGTTTGATTTATTGGTTCAGTAGTTTTTCTATTTCTTTATTTTCTTTGATAAACATATTTCTCTCTCTCTCTCTCTCTCTTTGCATTCTTTGTCATTCTTTCGTTCCTGTCCCCGTAATTCATTCTCTCTTTCTTCATTGCGTTTTTTTCTAAGTGCCCGAGAGCTTTTTTCTTTCTCATTCATATATTCAGATATTATTATTAGGTTGGTGCAAAAATAATGACGTAATAATGTCGGTTTTTGACGTTAAAAAAATACGTCAAAAAACGACATCATTACGTCATTATTTTTGCACCAACCTAATAATTCATTTGTTCTTTACTTCCTTCCTGCTTCACTATTCCTCTTTTCTCTTTGCTCACTCCGCTTTTATTCCTTTTTGTTTCACACTCATTCTTTACCTTTTAAAACTAATTTATTTCGTTCAACGCTTTTACCTTGTAAATCTCATTTAAGTTTTTTTTTCAATAATATTTTCTCTTGATGTCATAGAATCTGTTGTATTCGATGACGAACTTTTATTGAAAAGTTTTTTGTATTTGTTAATCAGTTTCACCTCAATCAAGGCAGTAAAGTCACTAAAACACAAGGATTTACAGAGTGTGGAAGAATTACGAACAAAAAACATTAATAATGAATGAAAAGAGAAACGAATAATCGGGAGGAAATGAGATAGCGATTGATATTGCATTTAAATTTTTGCAGATCAAAGTTGACTGGAAAACAAGGAGCTGAAAGGGAGTTCCACAAGAGAGTAGTGCGAGAAAAGAATCTGTTATCATAGAACTTACGGTTAAATCTAGCCAGCTAAATAGTCAGCTGATGAGAAGTCTACTACTGCGCTTAAATTCATGAAGTGTAGGTACCATAGCGAAGAACTCAATCTAAAAATTACCAATTGCGGAAGTGATCACCATCCAGTGATATGTAAACTTAGAATGAAACTGCGGAAGAGACAACAAAAACAAAAAGAGTGGTTAGTTCACTCAAACAAAATCAATGAAGAAGGTAGATATTTCTCCATTGTATAATAACTAACGCAAATCATTGAAGAAACCACCTGTATTCTGAATGCAACAGAACATCAGGTGAATTTCCTTGACTTCTTCCTTACATCCTGTCCTGAAAAATGCTTTGTTGAAGTTTTATCCCCCCCCTCCCCTGGACACTTCAAATTATTCCCTAGTCAGTGTCAAAGTTGATACCAAACCAAAATTATCCCTTCATGTGCCATTCTATAAAACGTTTTTTTGGTGCATGAGAGTCAACGAGAAAAGCTTCAGATCTTACATGGCAAAAGCTTCTCTTTCAACCTTCTTCAAGGATACTACCTCCAAAACTGCTGCCCACGTTTAGGAATGGATCTATTCTAGAATTGAGAGCAAAAACCAAATCCCCCACAAATGTGCTACAGACATAGCTCAGGGTAATTATTACTGTAGAGTGGCAAGTTCTCCTTGATACTGAAAACAAAAAGAAAACATTGAAACAAACATAAAAACAGAAAACATTGAAAATGGGATTTTTGCTACTAAAAAAAATAAAATATTCTGACAGTAAAACATAAAATTCCTGATCTGGAACTTGACAAAAATCATTATTTTTGCATAAATTTGCAATACACAACAAAGTCACTTATGAACAATCTCTACAGCTTATATTGATGCAATATGTCATTCAGTAAATAATATGAGAGGGCCAAGGCAGCACTCAAATTTCAATGCGACAAATTCTTGAGTGATCTGAATGTGAAGGAGAATTATATAGACAGCGTGAAAAGCAGATACAATGGACAAAATGTAAATGGAAACTCCAAGAGGGAAACATTAAAAGAAACTTTAGTAACGTCAGCAGTCGAGATCATCCGAAGGAAAAAAGTAGAAAAAGAAATGAAAATGGATTACAAATGAAATTCTCAACATGAACGAGATAAAAACAATGCCAAGATTCGGAATAGAATATAAGACACATAGCAAAGACATTGAGAACAAATGCAGGCAAGCATGAGGAGGAATTGATCAACAAAAAATGTGTAGAAATAGAAAGAAAGAGTATTACAGACGAAGCAGATGTGCCTAAAAAAAAACCAAACAACAGAACTAAAAGGGTCAAAAAATATCAAAAGGACGTATAAAATCCAAGGACGGAATGTTGATATTAAAGAGAGACATCTACTTCAGAGATGTAACTAATATACCGGTGAACTCATTCACGACAAAAGAGAACAAAAAACAATAGGCAGAAATATCGAAGGACTGGAAATCTTAAAAATCTGAAGTGGAATCAGCACTGATAAAACTGAACAGAAACAAAGCAGCAGGGCCAGACGGAATTGTAATAGAGATGCTGACAGCCTTAGAGGATTTGGACATAGACAAGATTACAGACATAATAAATGAAATACGCAACGGAAAACCTAAGTAGATCTATTTTCATAGAACTGTCTAAAAAAACAGGCGAAAACGAATGGAAACTGCATCGAACAATCAGCCTAACGAGCCATATAACACAACTTATCATCCGAATTCTGATGAATAGAGCGTGTACCAGAATCAGACCGGAAATATCAAATAAGTACAATGTAGTTTGTTAAAGACATTGGAACAAGGAAGGCGATATTTATGCTTAGAATTATATGAGAAAGAACAATACAAATGCAGAAGGATGTGTTTTATAGATTATGCAAAAATGTTTGATAGAATAGGTCACAAAGAATTGTTGGAACTGCTTAGTTAACTTATTTAGCTAAGGATATTAGAATAATCAAGAATCTACAGTGGCATCAAACCGGACTTATTCAACGTGTAGCGGTATTGACGGCCTAAATCAACTCGTACATTTTTTTACTTTACGAATGTGTAAGCAAACGTAAAAGCAACAAGATAAGCAAGACCAAACGCTTTTATAACAAAACAATATTTATATTTATGCAATCATGTACAAGCTTAGTGGTTACCTCCCTTTGACTGGAATGTACTAATGGAATATCTGAGCTCATAAAAAGTTTAATGAACTTGCCTCTCAAAATGTTCACTGTGAGAATGTGTTTGGTAAAATGGAACTTTGAATATTTACTTGATGTTTCAAGAAGTTTCTGTTTGGCACTAAATAAAATTTAGTTTTTGTACTTCTGGAAATAATCTTGCCGCTAAAAGAAAATGTTCGGCAAAAACAAATTTGGTTAAATAGAACTGAGTGAGAAAGTTTGTTGAATTATGTCCTGAAGAGCTGAAAATCTGTCCGGAAAAAACTTGTAGCTTCAGGAAAAAAACTTTTCTTACTAGTGAAGAATTGGAAAAAACTGTAATATTCAAGTTAAATTTCCTTAGCGTAGCAGCGATATGTCTAGTTGACTTTTCTTTTGTCTCATTGTGAGAGAGTTAAAAGGATTCTGTAAAGCTGAGAATATGTGGATGCTTGTAATGCTTGTAATGCTTGTAATTAAGTTTCGTACGTACGTGTATGTGTGCGTGTGTGAATATGTTTTCATAGCGTCCGTCCGAACCGGGGTCGGAAGTCGATTTCTTTAACAGCTACATTTTAGTAGCGAGATAAATCAAAAGAAAGAAAGAACGAACTAGTGTCTGGTATTTATAATCAACATAATCACATGATCGGCTCGGGGAAAGCATAGACAGAATTTAGCGGAATGTTTTATAGTCAGGTCAATAACTATGTCGATGTTATTCGGACGTAGTTGAGAACATGGTTTAAATATTAACTGACCAATTGGAAGTGATAAAAATATCAAGGTTCTGTGATCCACTTTTTGCATAGAATTGCACAAAAATTGACATTGATAAAAAAAAATGGTAGCAAAATGTTAAAATCCTACAAAGCGAGATTATTCTGAGAGAATTAGAAGTCCCGAAAGAATTTATTTTTGGCGGTCATAATCTCAACAAGATAAGATGTGCAAATGACATAGGGTCTGATAGCAGACACGGGGAGGAACTCCTACTGAAGGTAGTGAAGGAAAGCAAGAAGAAAAACTGAGCATTAATTCGAAAAAGACAGAATTCCTGTTTTTTAGCAAGAGAAAGTGCCCAACATGTAAATTACAAATGGGAGTTTCCAAAATCAAACATGTACAACAATTTAAATATCTGGGAAGTGGAACACTTAAATCTGAAGGTGTCAGGATGTAGCCAAAGATGCATTCCAAAAGCTAAACTGAGTATTAAAAAGCAGAATATATTCGTGAGAAGCAGAAAGAATTACTGAACTGTTACACAATATCTCTCCTCCTATCCAGCATTGAAATTTTCCAACTCTCTTTTCCCTTTACGTGCCCTATAAATTTAAACTGTCTCTTCCTGATATTATATATAACTGTCCTTTTTGTTTCCGGAAGAATCACGTAAGAAATGCAGTTTTATCGTTTATATTCACCTGCTATTGTTTTACAAATTGGCAGTTTTAGAGGTGCTTGCTTAAGAGCGATTAATATGAATCAATTTTTTTCTCTCCTACGTATCGACTATCTATCCCGTATATATTCATAACCAGCACTCATTTCCTTCTCTTACGTAGGAAAAAACAAAAAAAAAAACAATTTCACTCAGTAATCAACTACTTGAGTGGCTCTTGAGCCTTTTCAAGGGTCACGGATTCACTTGAAATAATAATGTTAGTAAGGTTAATTTTCTTCAAATAAATCGAGAAATGATAAGCAAATATGAATATGCAAATTATGCAAATAGAATAATTTATCATTTTTTATGAAAAAAGTAATCTGTATGCTAAGGACTTTACTACTTTCAACGTATAAAAAAACTACAATTTAGCAAAAAAAAAAAAAAATTCTACACCTGTTTTTAAATATATCTTTTAAAAATTTAACCTTATCTTCCGCACATATCCTCATAAACTGTGCCGTTGTAACCCTCTACCTCGAGTGGCTCTTGGGACTTGTACAGGTGAACAGGTGATGCCAATACTTCTCGTGCTCTAAATTCATGAACTTGTGCCATAGAATGCGAAACATAAATGCCTATCATGGCCTTATCATAAGCTAATGGTTTTGAACCTTGTCTCACAAACTATTTTGCATGTACAAGAATCTCATCTTCATATTGCACAAATTTATCCCCATGTGTCAGATAAGAGTTAAATTAAAAAATACTGAAATTTGTACGGTGATTTTTAACGT